CGATTCACCAAAAAACATGTGGTATTGACAGCTTCTGCCCAAAATAATTTTTCTAGGCCTGCATCTCTCAACATTGCTCTTGTTCTTTCTAGCAAGGTTCTGTTCATCCGCTCTGCCACCCCATTTTGTTGAGGAGTGTTTGCTACTGTGAACTGTCTTTTGATGCCTTCTTTCCTGCAAAAATCATCAAATTCTTCGCTTGTGTATTCTCCTCCATTATATGTTCTGAAACACTTGATCTTATTTCCAGAATCAAGTTCCACCTGCGCTTTGAAGTTTTTAAAAGTTAAAAACACATCTGACTTCTTCTTAATAGGGTACACCCAACATCTCCTGGAATAGTCATCAATAAATGAGACAAAGTATTTTGCTCCGCCTAGGGATGTAACTGGTGCTTGCCATACGTCAGAGTGAACCAATTCTAGAACACTTTTTCCTCTAGAATTTGATGTGTTGAATTTCAACAGGTGCTGCTTACTTGTTATGCAATGCTCACACAAAGTAAGTGATACCTTCGTTAAACCTGGAAGTAGCTTTTGCTCCACAAGGACTTTCATTCCTTGTTCTGACATGTGTCCAAGTTTCTGATGCCATAGCATTGCAGAATCTGAACTACATGAGGCAACAGAGGCTTCTGCTTCTAGCAAAGTCTCTCCCTTCAGTATGTACAAGTTTGCTGCTATCTTTTCGCCTTTCAGCAACAAAAGCGCTCCACAGAACACCTTCATGATTCCTTTCTGTGTTTCAATCTTGCTTGCATTATTATCCAACAATTCGTAGGATAATAAATTTTTCTTCAGGCCTTTCACGTGCCGCACATCTCGAACAACTTTGGTTGTTCCATCGTACATCTTCAATTTGATGGTTCCCACGCCAATGATCTCTAAGGCATGATCATTGCAACTATACACAGATCCCTCTGAGACAGGTTCATACTGATGGAACCATTCTCTTCTTGAGGTCATGTGATATGTTGCTCCCGAATCAATGTGCCATATATCTACAAATCATTTTCTACCTTCCATGGTGGTTGACGCTTCACAACATAGAGCATCTCCATCATCTGAAGTGTTTGCAGTATTGCCTTGTGGATTGGAGTTTTTATTTAGACTCCAACAATCCTTCTTCAAGTGATCCTTCTTTCCACAGTGGTAGCACTTCAAATTCTTTTTGCTTCTTGACTTTGATCTACCATGTTTGTGACTGCTGCTTTGGCCACGTTCTGTTGATCTCCCTCTCATCGTTGTCAACGCTTCTGCTTGTTGCAGATTTACTTGTCTGTCTTCCTTGTTCTTGCGCCGATTTTCTTCTTGTAGAACAACAACTGCAATGTCATCGAATACTAGACTGGTGACATTACTGTTTGTCAAGTTGATGATGAGTTGATCGTACGAATCCGGTAGACTTTGAAGTAGAAGTTCAGCACGTTCTTGTTCTCCTATTTTACAGCTTAAGGATGTAAGCTGAGAAAATAAGGTGTTCAGTGTATTTAAGTGCTTCGTCACTGAAGTAGATTCTGGCATACGGAGAGTGTACAATTTCCTCTTAAGGAAAATTTTATTGTGCAGCGATGTGGCCTCGTACAATTTGGTGAGATGATCCCATATCTCCTTAGCTGTCTTCTTCTACTCGATGCTTGACAATACTTCATCTGCTAATGCTAGATGAAAGTTTGACATATCATTCCCGTCCATCTCGTTCCATTTGATGTCATTTGCGAAATCCACCGGACCTTTCATTGATAGCCGCTAGACACCCGTCTTTCCTTAGGATGTCCTTCATCTTCAATTTCCACAATGAGAAATTTCTCCCATTGAATTTTTCAATATCAAATTTTGTTGCCATAGCTTCTTTTACGGATAGCTCCCACTATTTCACTATCGTGAATAGTTCTCTGGAACCTTCAAAGAATGGGTAATAACTTCTTATTTTCTTATGTTGGAGGATCCACCTTTTGGTGGCAACCACAAAGACAATAAGCAGATATTACACACTCTAATCTAGCTCTTATACCAATTGTTGCGGAAGACGGCTATCGGATAGAGCAAAATTGCAACTGATAATTTGAGAAAATAAAAATGAAGATAAAAGAAACACAAAATTTACGTGGAAAATTCCTAAAACTTTAGGGTAAAAACCACGGGCAACGGTAGAAGAATTTCACTATGAGAAAATAGGAATTACAACCTCTCTCGATCTACCGAGGAGAAAACAATGATAATTCTCTCTTGATAAAAAGGAGAAAACAACTCTCAAGAAACTCTCTAAATTCTCTCTAGTATTGGAAGAAAGCTAGAATGCTTTGGGATGGTTTTGAAGCTAAATGAGCTAGGGTATTTATAGTTGAAGCTTAAGGACTAATCTTATAAATACCCTAAAGTGCAATGACTAAAAGTTGCATTTTTACCATTTTATTTTTCAAACAACTTTGCAACCAACTTTGAATTAAATCAAAGCAGCCGGTTGCCATCTAGAAAATTAGCTGCCCCATGCTATTTGCTTTTGACTTTCAACAATTATTGTTTAGTGATTTTCATTATTTAATCTATATTATCTCTTGAATTAATATATGGTTTCAAATTAAATGAATGAGATATATGAAGATCTCTTAATTCTGTTTGTAGAGTTTAGAAATTCCAATATTCAAAAAACGATCAAGTTAAAATTATTTGAGAATATATATATAACTGTGTTGATTACCTGCTTTCGTGGACTTTTGTTCTTCATTAGCACCCTTGATATGCTGGAGTTGGCTTAGCTAACAGCAAACCCCCTGGCAATGGCATCTTTTCATATGGAATAATATGCTATTACGTTTGCAGGGACAGGGAAGATTTGGTATGCATTGGGAAACTGAATAGGACTTTGTATACATTGATTTCAGTATAAACAAGAATTAGTATTAACCATATAACTTTTGTTTATGTGTTATTCATTGTTTTGCCTCTAATATCTCTTGAATTAATCCGTGGTTCTGATTATCAGATTATATTCAATTAAGAAATTATCATGCGTGTTTAACTATTTGATCATTATTCGGTATATTAAGGATTGAATGTTTTAATTTTACTAACAAAGTTAAAAAATTATCATACATTTTTAATTATATAAAAATAGATAAATGATACATGTGATGATTCTGATGATTTCTTAATTCCGCCTGCGAAATTAAAAATCTGTACTGTTCTAACTAAATAAATGAGAAGACTGACCATTTTTAATCGATATTAATTAATATTATATATAAAATAAAACTATCTGGTATACATGTACCGATTTTAATTTATATAAATATGTTTATTTTAGAGTTTAAGAGTTTATATTCATCATTTTGAGATTTAGAATTTATGTTTAGAATTTAAAGTTGCAAAAGGAAAGGTTTAGTTTATTGGTTAGAGTGGACAAAGTTATACTTCGATTCGGTGTCATTATAATTCGTTTTTATATTATTAAAAAATATATGAACAAATATTAAATTAGAGTTCCTAATTTTATTTAATTTGATTTTGTTCTTTATTTTTTATGATTATTTTTATTTTGTCTTTTATTTTTTATTATTAATTATATTTTGTCCCTTTTGAACTGATATTTTGACTTCGTCTATAGTTAAAGTTTTAGATTTTATAATTTAAGATTAAAATAGATATGTTGCGTAAAATAAACAATTTTTGCTTCAAATAATAATTTGTATATAACTCAAAAGAATATTTGATTCTAAAGTTTAAAATTTAGAGTCTAAGATTCAAAAAGTTGAAATTTTGGGGTTAAAATTCAAATAGCAAAATTATGTAAACTTCAGTCCATACGTATATTAAAAAACTACTCTACGAGTAAGAGAAAAATTAAGTTTGACTGGGAAGACAAAACTCTCAAGTTCCAACTTTTAGGTGTTAATTTTGACACAGAAATTGGAGTTTGGTGAAGCTGGCATGGGGACTAAATTCCAAAGAGAAACACAACAAGGGCTTATAACGAGACAAAAGGCCCTGTCCTAATTTGTAGGGTAATTAGTGTAAGAGTTTGGAGTCTTCAAATGCCTATATGTCCCAATGAGTTCTTTACAAAGAGACTATGCCAAAACTTTTAGTATATAATTAAAAACAAGGCTTATGAAACAAACCTTCTCTTTTAAGTAGGGTACACGTGATGATATTAATGAAAATTAATCAAATAAAAAAAACTTGAATAATCTGCCATCATTGTCACAGAGAGAATAAAAAACGAATTCAGCTAAACCATATATATATATATATACATATATACATATAATCCTTTTTACTCTATAAACATTTCCTGACAAAAGGAAACAAAAATGGCAGTCCAAGATCGGATGTCAATATCAATAAGATAAAGTTCACACACATTGCATAGCAAATTAAACACAAGAAATACAGTCATAAGAATTTATTTACTTTTGACTTTTTCTAATTTATAAATTTAATTGTTAATATTATAATGTAAAACTAAAGTCTTACTCAGAGTTATAAGATTTTTTTTAAGTAGTCTAGAATGATGATGAGAAAATATATATTTAAAATATCTTTTAATATTTTATACGGACGAAAATACTTGAATTTATTTTTTAAAAGATAATGTTTTCTTTTAATATTAATAGCTATTAATGAGTTCAAGATTATATGATTCTTTTTTCCCGGAAGAAACTTGTATGATTCCTTACTACTAAGAAATATCGGACGAGAAAATGTATTTTAAATATTATAAGAGGGAAAAAAAGAGAGGAAAGTATATGAAAAATGTCATTTTAGGGTTCTAAGAAAAGTCAAAGCTTTTTAAGGTAAAAAATCAGGGCACTCTCTCGTTCTAAGTTAGGGATTCTTTTTGCTTATAATTTTTCCCACAACGCCTTGAAAGCCATCCGCGTGTTTGCTATCTGACAAAACACAGTATCTCTTTTTCCACAAATTTTCAATCCAATTTACCCTCTTCCACATATTAATTATAATAAAAATGAAATTTGTTGATTGGGTATGGGTTTTCAATTTCCTTTAAAAAAAACCCAGAAAGGGATCTTACATGAAAGGTACTCGAAAAGGTTCAGCCTTTGTTTTCAAATATCAGATTGTGTTTTAGGGTCTCCTTGATCTTTCTTTCTGTAAGAGAAAAGAAAAACAGAGAGAAAGAGAGGAAAATAATTAATAAAAGGGAGCAAGAGGCGCAAATGTTTGAAGGAAAACCGAATTCTTGTAGTTTTCCGGATGAATTAGTTGGATTAAACTTGGCTTTTGCTTGCTGTGATGCCATTATTTCTGTTATTGCTTTTGCTCAGGTTTGTTTCTTTGGGTTAAAGACAAGATTTTTTTGGGGGGTTTTCAGGGAATTTTTATTTGATAGTTAGTTTGGAAGAGAAATGTGGGTTAAATTTGTGTTTTTTCGATTGTTTTGATCTTGTTTTTTGCGTTACAACATAGTGAAATTATATTTGTTTTGTTTCTCTGCTTTTCTTTGATGATAATAGAAATTGGGTAACTTGATAGGAGGGTAATGTTGTATTTGATTGCTAATTAACTTCCATTTTTACCTAATACAATTGAGATTAATATTGAGGAAGTAATTCAAGGTGTTGAACTTAATTGTTTGCATGACCAAAGGGTTAGCTGGTTGGACATTGTCTTCTTTCACGTTTATGCTCCCTCGTGTATGTAATATGTGATTCAGAATTTATGTAACAGATTGAATTTTTAATTTTTCAATACATAAATTGAGATATCCTTTTTTATTACATATTTTGTTTCTAATTGGTAATCTGTGTTTGTTTTTCCCTTAAACGCAACAAAACTATAAATTTGATGGAACAGTTTTCTTGTTTATCATTCATTATTGATTATGCTGAAAATGAAGTATGAACAGTTTGCACACTGAAGGATACAAAATGCACATGGTCTTAGGAATTCACGAGGAATGTCTTATAAATGGTTGGCTCTTATAGGAATCTGGACGATCAACCTTAAAGTTTTTCATGGTTCAGTATGATAAGTTTGAATCTGAAAATTGCTGGCTGACTGAACCCTGATCAGCTGAATCGTGTTTATTTTTACCATAAGCAGAGTTTGGACGAACAATGTAAACTATAAAGAGATTGAATTGAGCTCATTATAAGCTTTTCAGTTTACCCAAACTTAATTTTTGTCTTTTATCTATCTTAATGTTTATTGTAACATTATTTCAATTTCAATTGGCAACTTAACTGCAAGTCTACTCTTTTAGTTAATTCAACTCCAGTTTTTGCTTGCATCTATGTTTGTTTCAAAAAACACTTCTGGTTCGAGCTGTCGTAACTTACGACTTCCTTGAAGTTTTCGTACCATTCTATTTTAACTCTAACGTGTTCAAGATCTGCAATTTTTGCATTGCATTATATCCATGTAACTTGTTATATACACAAGTTTTTGTTGTTGTGAAAAACTTATCATTCTGCACTTAGTATCTGATCACAATATTGGTTTTACGGGTATCAGAGCAGTAAATTTGAAATCCTTAGACATCATGATGAGTGTCTGGGTATCTGTGTTGGATCTATATATGCATATGTGCTGGTAGATGTATGTCATTTCTTGTAGACAGTATCACCTGGGATAATATTGTCCATCAGACTATCTTTAGGATAATGTTACTAATTGTTATGGGAGGTTAGTTCGTACCTTTCTTTTTGGTTTGTTGTTTGTAACGACTATTTACTTTGTGGTCAGCTAGCACGCATTCACTCAAGGAATTCACAGCTTGGATGGACTCGCCAAAAAGTAAGTGCTAGGTTTTCTTCGATTTTTTAGTTAAAGGGTCTCTATTTGAATGTAAATTAATTCATAGGCTAGCTAGTTTAACACAATGTCAGCTGATCAGCTGGTTGAGTGGGGACTAACACCTTGATCTGATCTATGTGTGTCCCTGAATCCTGACCCCTTAAGGCAGGGTTTGGTGAATTGTCTGAACAAAGGCATGTCTGTGACCCTTCTAACACTGCTTGAACTTGGAAAAACTGGTAGGTTCAAATTAGTTGCAACTGCAGCATGCGTTAGCTAAAACATTTTGGGCCTCGGAGTTGATAATATGCCTTGAAAATATTTTAACCAACATTTCCAGGAATTCTACGTTTTCACAAGTGTCCTGCTTGCTGTTGTAATTTCTACACTTCTTGCAAACATGAGAAGAAATATTGTGTACGCCTTAGTCCCTGTCAGAAAAGTCACGGTTGCACTCCTATGCTTTCTTTGATCTTGTATTTTTGTATCCAACAAGGAAAGTGCAATGAAACATTAAAAATTTACCAAAAGTTTTCAATAAGTTGTATAGTAACCAAGTTTGGAAACTAGGAACACTAATTGAGTAAAAATATAGTTAAATCATTCTGGAATCCATGAAATGTAGAAAAGAAATATTCAAACTTATCCATAGTCCAGTTGAGGTAGAAGATGGACTTGGGGTTGAAGGCATGAAGCCAATCGATGTTATCAAGGTCCATGCATTTGTGTGCTATGCTAATCATGGTACATGCAAGTTGCTATGTTGATTTCTATTTCTAAGTGCGTATTCTTGTTCTTGACCCAAATGGATGTTATGACAGGTTTTTCATATACTGATTGGGTTTACTAATACTGGTATGCATTTTTATTTTGTGCTTAGTTTGTTTTGAATCACCTCTCTGATCCAAACTGAACTGCCAAATTCTCACCTACCTGCAGGTTACTTCATTTATTTTATCTTGAGTCTTGTTGCTGCATGCCGAGAGTGGTTATGCTGGTCATACACTTGTGGTTTTGTAGCCATGGGTATGTGTAGATGCTCGTAATAAGATCCTACTTATTTATTTCACTTCAGCAGCAGATTAGTTTAAACATTAACCAGCTCAAATATGCGTGTTGCAGCCTTCCCCAGAATTCTATTATTTGCAACATTTCTTCTGCTTTTGTCATTCTGGTATGTATGTCTTCTCTTTCACCAACTTATTTACATCTCTTTGAGTGAAATATGATCATGTCTTATATATAACTCCTTCAAATATAAGGAAGACGTGCTCTCTAAAACCAGAGATATTTGCAAGAATCTAGATATGCTCTTCTCAGTACACTTTTTTTTAATAATAGGAAATTGAAAAACAACAAGGTAAATCAGCTTAGTAGTTGACTAATCATCGTGTCTTAATCAATTAGTATTCCAGACAGCTTTTTATTTATTAATTTTTATCTTTTCCCTGGGTTAACCGTTACAATGGTACTGAAGCTAAGTGTTTTTGTAAATCAGGACAATATCCTATGATAGTTTTAGTTACTTTCATATTTTCTTTCAGAGTGAAAATTAGTGTTTCTTCATCAGCTGTACCCAATGTCTCTCTGGCGGATTTTTTATAGGGTCGACCTTTGCCACCAGGCAGATGATGAAGAGGAAGAGGATGATGAACAGGGCTTTCTAGAAGCTTTAATACAAAATTCTTTAAACAGACCAAGGTCTTCAGTCGCAGATGGTCGCAGATTATGTTATCCTTTCTGTTTAATCCATGTTGGAAGCCGTCAAAAGATAGTAATTCTGGTATAGTGATATATTTTCTTCTTTTGTTTCTTATCATGGTCTTCATGTATACCAAAAAAAATGTTTCTATAATACTTTCCTGTCATGTCATTTTGTAAAACATAATGTTTGAGATCTCATTAATTCTTTTATTCTTTGACCAGATTACTGTTCTTGGATTTCTTCTTATGATGACATTTTCTGTGTTAATTTGGATTGGAATGGAAGAAAATCCTATTGATTCATCAACCGTGTCGCGGGTATGAACATCTAAGAAGCTATTTTCTTTTGAGATATTGTTGTTTTGTTAGAGTACCATGAATAAGTCTGATTATTGGAGAGAAGGTTTCAGTGGGGATAGTCATAGTGTTTGCAATTTTTTTTCTTCTAGTTTATTGCTCGGAAAATGAGAAGACGCAATGGAAACCCATGTTTATGGAATTTCTTTGTAATGTTTATTCCTAGATATTTCTAGTCAAGCCATGAAGTACTGACTGCTTATCTCACACAGGTTTATGTAGATCTTTTTGCTACAGCAATACTATTGCTCGGTGGAGCATTAGCATGCTATGGTAAGCAACCAGCATTTATATGGGCTTTTCTTTTCATATCAGTTGAAGATTTTTCCCCTTATTGGGATAACTTTGTGATGACAAAATATGTAACATCAGGCCAACCGAACTTTATTCTTACTTGCTACACGTGAACCAAATACCAGAAGTCACGTGTCAGCCTCCCATCCTTAGTATTTAACAGCATGCATATGTATATTACTTAGATTTGTCCCAGACGATAAGTAACACTAATTCTAGAAGTTCGTTAGCACTCTGCTTTAATGGGTAATATGACTTATGGCTGGTCTAAATTCCAGAAAATGTTACTGGTCACTCTTTGTAATTGATTGACTAATTTGTACATCTTAAGAATCTCTAGAATAGATGACTCTTCTCTCTTTACATATTTCTTCTCTTAGAGATGCCCGTATGTTTATTCTTTCTCTTGCTCAGGGCTCCTATTATGTCGGAAAATGAGGAATGTTAGATCTGAAAGAGCTTCATCTGAGATCTGGAAGGTATTATCATATTATTCTTCATGCCTTTGTGCTATTTTCCTAGGCCTTTATGTTTACCTTTGATGCGTATATCTTCGTTAAAAATCCTGTGTCTTTATAGTTATCTTATTTCTTTGCATTGCTTTTTCCAGATGTTGTTTTGAGCTATACTGTTTATGTAGGTTGCAGGTTTGGCAATCGTATCTGTTATAAGTTTTACATTCAGTGCTTCTGTGGCCCTTTTTACTGATATTCCGGTACAGAGCTCTCTATTGTTTGTTCATACCGTGTTCTATTTTCTAGCTCCACGAACTTAATCATGCTTTCACGATTTCAGGTGATTTATCACTGGCGTGAACTGCACATAGACGGTGTTTATGCTTCTCTTTTACTGATTTTATATTACTTTATAGGTATTTCCTTCGACTTTTACCTTAAGTTGCCAATGTTTGCTCCAAATCAAAGGCTTTTGTGTTTTGTTTACGGAATCGGCTTTTAGGGCGTAGAATATCCCAACATTATGTACTACTGATCCGTATCTAGCATTACAAATATTTCACATGTATTTTGATGTTTCCGCATATTCAGCTTCATCTGGCAATCTGCAATAAAAGGGAACAGATTTGTCGACGATAAAGTTGATGGCTATAAGAACCTTCATCTAATCATAACTGTCTTGGATAAGGGACATTGTATGAGAAATCAGGATGTCTATATATCACAATGGAACGACTCAGGTGATCCGGGAGATTAAGACAATTAGAGTTTCCGAGTTATTTATGTTCCAACAAAGTATTTGTGCAACTATCCGTCTACTCTTGTCGGACTAGGGGTTAATTTCACGTGAAGATAGCGAATATTGTTGTTGCACAATCTTAAAATGTATATTTAGAGTCGATGCACGATCTTAAATGTGGAATGGTGAAGTAGGTCATGATATCAAGTTAATGATGTGATGTTCGTTTTGCTTTTGTAGGTTCATCAGTTCCCTCGGCTTTCGTATTATGGGTCATGAGAGAATTACCGCCCATGTCAACGGCTAACACGCAAGAAGAATCACGTGAAATAAACGAACAAGAAGCGGACCTTGATAGATAAATTAAATAATAACTTTATTTTTCAAAACAAATATTAAAATTTATAAAATGTGTTAACGTCGAAAATTAAATTTATTATTATATTAATACTAATAATGGATAAATAAAGAATATGTTTGTATTTTTTTTAAGTCAATTGCTTCACATGTTCTAAAAGTACAATCCTCGTTCTAAATTAATCTTTAAACTTTTAAATATATTAATTATTTCCCTAAATTATGACTATTATTCTAAATTAGTCTTTAAACTTTTGAGCATTTTAATTTCATCCTCAACTATGATCTTCATTCTAAATTGGTTTCAAATATTTTGAACATTCCAATTTCATCTCAAACTTTACGTATATACTAATCACATCCCTTGTTAATAAAATTGTTAGACCAAGTTATATCATTATATGCTCAAAAAATTAGGTTAATCTATGGTAGAAATTAATTACATATTTGGATGAGTTTGGGGATGATATTGGAATATTCAAAAGTTTAGGGATTAATTTAGAAAGAGGGTCATAGTTTAGGGATGAAATTAAAATGTCCAAAAGTTTAAGGAATAATTTAGAATAAGAATCATATTTTGAAGATGAATGGTCCATTTGGTGGGAAGAAATTACGGTGAAAATAGTGGTTTTAAATCAACCACAAAAGTTAGGATTTCTAGTATTTTCATTTTCAACTTTGCATTTGGAATTAAATTATAATTTTACCTTACTAATGCATGAGTTTCATTCATTTATGTATTTACATTTTATTTTAATAATTTATTATTAATATTCTTAAAAAAATAATTTATTATTTTTGATAGTTTATTTTAATTATTTAAAATAAATAAAATTCTTGATTTATATATTAAAATATTAATACTAAATTATATAAAATATTTTATTATAATTATATTTTTATTATAGTTTAAATTGATATAATTCATATATAATAACTATTTTTTAATTTATTATAGTTTAAATTGATATGATTCATATATAAGTGTAAGTGTAATTTAAATGCTATAATATTAATTTACAACATAAAGTCTACAATGAATATTTTATCTTTTCAAACCCATTTTTTAACAGTAATTCTAAATAATTAAATTTTAAACTGTACTTTTATACAACACTTTTAAAAGTTATTTTCTACAACACTTTTAAAAGTCATTTTTCAAAAACTATACCAAACTAGCCCGAAATTAGAATATTCAAAAGGTTAATAACCAATTTAAAATAAGGATTATAGTTTGGAGACATATGATACAATTAAGTCTAAATTTAAATATTTTATTTAGGATAAGAGTTGGCTTACCTTTATCATCACTTTTGTTATTGTAAAATACTTTCTGTCCCTTTAATATATAGAGTGGTATATCCGAAGACATACTAAAACTTCAAATCATTCATTAACTAATATAACTAAGAAATATTCATTATTTTGATTAAAATATTATCAAAATTAAAACAAAAATTATTTCAACTTAGTTATGGTCATGCACTCATGTGTGTGTATTGTTTATATTATTTTTTATGTTGTATATTAATCTAAAATTTTGAAGCAAAAGGAAGGTTTGTTCCAGTGTTTTAAAAAATTCTGTTATAGGGGTGTTCATTTTTCGGTTTTAATCAAATTAACTGATAGAACCGAATTAGTTTGGTTAATTTGGTCGGAGAATAATTAATATTTTTTCAATATTCGGTTAACGGTGAATTCGGTTTGAAATTGGTTAATTAACCGAATTAGCCAAAATTATTAAATATTATATATTATATATATTAAATGCATATTTTAAGCTCAAACCCATTAAGAATTAACATCTAATTATTTTTTAACCACACCAGACTCGTTAACTTATCAATACCTAATTAAATTTTAACTCAAATAAAAAATACATATATTATATTCAAATTAATCTAATTAAAAAATTATAAATAAAAAATCGGTTAATTCGGTTAACCGACCGAAATAACCAAATTTTATTTGGTTATGTTAATATTTTTAAAAAAAAATTGATTCGATTAACGATTAAAGAAAAAAATTCGATTAGTGAAAATTCGGTTCGGTCGATGACCGAATTAACCGTTTAAACACCCTACTCCATTATTTTAGAAAAAAAGATTTTTTATTTGCATATTAATAATAAATAAAAAGTAGAGATTAAGATATTTGTACAATGATTAATTTGATTATCTTTTTTATTTTTAGTTTTAATACTTGTATAATTTAATTTAACTCACCCATCACATAAGGTCAGCAGTCCACATGTACTCAATAATGTTACAACAAGAGGGGCAATCTTTTTCGTTAAAACAATAAATAATTGAGGGATGATTCATGTGGTCATTTTTAATAGAAATTCCACTTCCTCACATGGGAATTTTATTATCATGATGATATGACCGTCTGACCTAATATATTCTTCTTTATTACGTAATTAAAGAAAAAACACAATCGGTTAAACAACAGAAATCGTTATAAATCGATAACGTTATTGACTGATTTGCTTTTTAAAATTGTAATGAAAAATAAAAAATTTAATCAAATATTAATGATCATTTGTATAGTTCACCCTATATTATTGTTGTTGTTTTAAGAAAGTTTGATAATAATATGAATTAAATAACCTTAGTGGTTAAAGAAATGATTGTTATTTTTAGAGATATTAGGTTCGAGCACTAATAACTATAAGATATTTAAATATTCTTTGCCAAATAATTTAATTTTTTTAGAAAAGATAACATCACTTGTAATGACCTTATATTAATTAAAAAATTAATAATGTCAACTTCAAACTTCCCGCAAAGTTTACTTTAATATTTTATTTATAATATTTAATATATCAATTAAGAGTGGACAATTTGTCATAAATATAATAAGAATAATAAAAAACAAATAAACAAATCTAATAAGAGATTAAAGTTGACATAAAATGCTATCTTCTTGGCGAGTTGAATTCAAACAAATTTATTTATAATATTAATGTGAATTTATCTAAACCTAAAAAATAGATATTACAATAAAATTATAACAAATAATGTTAAAAAAATTATTGACCATTATCATAATATTTTGAGGTCAAAATATATACGCAGTCTTGACACTTTTTAAAGATATGAATTATTCATAATTCCTAACCTCTAAATTAGATATAATTAAATTCAGAGTAAATTACATTGTTCTTCATCAAACTTGACTCTCTCTTCTATTCTGCTCATTGAACTTTAAATTTTTTCAATTTGTTATCGAACTTTATACATTGAATTATTTTGTTCACTCCACCGTTAATATTCTAATGGTATTATGATGTGGATTAAATAAATGAGTTTTTAACACAGGTCATAAAAAAATAAAATAAAATAAAATACTAGGGTAGATAATATTACCCAAATTCAAAAAATTTTGAAATTTTTGAATTCGTTGTTTGGAATAAAGTTTGTGTGATGAAGTGTCTGTGGTTGATTTTATCCTAATCTGGCTCTATTTGGGTTGCTTGGGTAAATAGTTATTTGTTGAAAAATTATTCTATTTGCGGGTTCCAAGTCAAATAGCCATAGTTGGGCTTGGAGGAAATTACAAAAACTGAGGGATGAGTTGGCTATAGTTGATAATCTTCAGGAAGGGTACAAAGCAAGGAAGGTTTGGTAGCTGTTTAGGCATAAGCAAGACAAGGTGCCTTGGTCGAAGGTTGTTTGGGGTGGTTTGTCTGTTCCTCGCCATTCTTTTATTTCTTGGCTGGTGGTGCAAGACAAGCTGCCAACGAAGGATAGAATGTTAAGATGGGGTTGTCATATCGATCCTGGTTGTTTGTTGTGTGAAGATGGATTGGAGACGCGTGATCATTTGTTCGTTAAGTGCTAAGATTTGATTGCTTGGTTGCAAAGGCTTGGCAAGGGGAAAATCTTTGCATTCTACCATTATCTGTGTAGCTTGGGGTGCTTTTAATTATTATATTTGGCAAGAAAGGAATGGTACGCAACATGGTAAGGGGTTAGGCAGTGCCCTGTTATAATTTTTTTTTGCATGATACTTAGGGTCCGTTTGTTTCGCGTAAAACATTTTTCGGAAAATATTTTTCTCATTTTCCAGTGTTTGGTTGGAGAAAAACTGGTTGGTCAACGTAAAATATTTTCCTGGTTAACATAATTTCCTTTGTGTTTTCTGGAAAATGACTTACGGTCTGATTTTTCGTAAGTCATTTTCTGAACTTTTTACTTTAAAGAATAAATACTCAAAATAATTTTATTTTATGAGTTTAATATTAATAAATATTTTAATATCATTTTAATCAAAATATTAATTATTAAAATATTTAAAATATATTTATTAATATTTCTAAAAATATATATTTTTAATATTATAATAAAATAATCAATTATATTATAATATAAGATATTATATTTTTATTTTAATATATAATAAATTATTATAAAAATTTATATTATTTATTAATTTCATAAAATGATATTATTAAATTATTAATAATGAATACTATTTTTATATTTAATATTAATATAAGAATCTAATAATATTTTAATAAAGATATTTAAAATATACTAATTAATATTTTTAAAATATCATATAACACTATTACTTTAATAAATAATTAATATAATTTATAATATTTTTATTTCAATAAAATATACCAATATTAATATTTTTATTAATAAAATTATAAAAAAAATATTTTAATAATAAGTAAATTATTTTAATATTTTAAAAATAATAATATTAAGCTTTATGATAAATAATATTATTTATTGTATTTAATATTTGTAATAAATATTTTTTAAAAAAATCATCAACTAGTGAAAAAAGAGTTTAAATAACATATTTCAAACATCGCTAAAACGTTTTTAAGAAAATATTTATTAAAACATCAACTAGTCAAAAAAATATAATTCATTTTACAGAAAATATTATCTGAAAAACGTTTTCAGTGAAACAAACGGACCATTAAATTAGGCTTGCAGGGAATAGTAGGTTTACTT